AACAGGGAACGGACAGTGAATCTGTACAACCAACTCTACATTCATGCAGCTACAGGCTGCCCTGTCTTTTCCCTTTTAAGAAAGATTTGTCGTGGTACAGGGCGTTTTCTGTCTTCTTTCTTTTTTCTTTTTTTTTTTTGGTGGGGGGGGGAGAGAACTACACGGGAGTCACTAAAACGAGTTAGAATTGCACTATGGACCAAGATACAGTTTCAAATTGGAGTTCAGGCGATGTATACAACCCAGCTTTCTGGCCAGGTAGGATGCCCGAAGTGCAATTGCAAACTGTATCTTGCCCCATAGTGCAATTACAACTCGTTTTCGTGACTCTACTGAAGTTGCCCCTTTTTGTTTTAAACCAAAACACTCCTCACATGGCTACGTAGCCACACTCCTCACATGGCTACATAGCCGTCCGCACATGTAATTGTGGTTAGATCATGCGTTCAAATCCTGTTCTCTTAACGATACTTAACGATATTAAGGCTATTTAACGATGTTACGGGCTACCCCAGCACTACCTACGGAGGCTACGGACCATCACAAGGCACCCACACTACCTTTCGATAAACAATTAAGGGCTATTTAACGATGTTAAGGGCTCCCCCAGCACTACCTACAGAGGCTACGGACCATAACAAGGCACCCACACTACCTTTCGATAAACAGACCAAGAGTTTTAAGTCTTCTTGATGACAAGAAGTAGACGGCTACAACGACCAGAAAGACTCAGCAAGAAAGTAGATCAAGTTGCAAGCAACAGGGCTTGGCTCAGGCCCTATTGTTTGCTATGTCTGCGTGCTTAGGAAGCATGGATCTTGTTAAAAGGGCTTCAGAAACATGAATCTGGCCCCATTCTCAGGGCACAGTACTACGAACATAGCATGTGTGGGGACAGGACCTGAAATTGCCAATGAATCTTGTTAAAAGGGCTTCAGAAGCATGAATCTGGGCCCATTCTCAGTGCACAGTACTACGAACATAGTCGCATCTGTGGGGCCAGGACCTGAAATTACCACATCTCCACAACATCGAAATCGGCCCAGCTCGAAGAGAGCTCCCAAGGAAACAGCCATCTGGAATGTCGGTGAAAGACCCCGATCAGTTGGTAGGCAAATCTACAGGAAAGGTCCTAGTGGTAGACGAAGGGCATCGAAGCGCCAACAGGTGTCACAGCACAGAATCATCCAGGTGTATGAACTTAAAAAAAAAAAAAAAAAAAAAGGATGCCTTCTCCTCATCGGGGGAGAGTCATATACTTTTCTCTCACCTCACATATGTTTTAACTGATGTTGTGCTATCGCATGAAACATATCTCTCTTTCACTACCTACCTCCCATTACTCCTAAGGCTATATATAGCCTCAGGTGTATAAACTTATAAAGTTACTCTAAACAGAGAATAAGGCAAAAAAAAAAGAAAGAAAAAAAAAAACACAGACACAAAGGCCAAATACACACAAATATATATATCGTCATATATGTCCTCTTCTCTCTCTCTGCCTGTGGTTTACCGGGCAGTTCTGTTTGTGACGATATATATAGATATATACATGTTTTCATAACTTTCATTTTGCCGCTGTGGCTAGGTTTTGCAAGGTCTATATCACACTACTTCCATCCACAGGATGAGCAAAATCGAATGAAATTTCCGCTAGAACATGGAAATATACACTACTACATGTGTGTGTGTGTGTGTGTGTGTGTGTGTGTGTGTGTGTGTGTGTGTGTGTGTTTGTGTGTGTGTGAGAGAGAGAGAGAGAGAGAGAGAGAGAGATTGGTTGAATCTGCCCGACACCTGCAGGACAACACTTTCTGCAACCGACGGCGCAGCGCAAAGCAAACCCGCAGCGAAAAGGGACCCCGTTCATGAAGTCGTGCCAACACCAACTGTACCAAACGCCCCCCAACAAGAAACGTACGATAGTCTGTTTTGATTTTCGTCACAGGTACCTTGAAAGCAGTGGTTCGTGCCCACCTCAGGGTATCAGTTGTCGGGCAATCGTTGATGCTTAACCACAGTTGGGTAGTACCTTCCTTAGGTGTCAAATGCGATGCCGTACCTGGTCGTTTAAATCAGACTTCCATCTTTATCAAACGACACTATGGTCAATGTAATGAACTTTGTGGTACCAATCATACCTTTATGCTTATTGTAGTTCGGTGAAACCTGATGAGTTGGCGAAACTCCGACGGAACCAATTTGTCACACCCCATCATCGTTTGTTGTCCTCTTCTCCCTCCCTCCCTCTCTGCCTACGGTTTACCGTAGGCAGCTCTGTTTGACTGGATTCACCTAACTAAAGGATCAGCGGAGCCCAGCCGCATTTTCAGAAGCAACGAAGTCTGAACCTGATCTCCCCATTTGTAAGCAGTCTGAAAACCACAGAAGGTCCGTGCAGGCAGCAGCGTCGGGCAGAATGTGCTAAGGTACCTTTTTTTTTCAATCTTTTTCTTCTTTTTGTTTTTCTTGTTTTTGTTTAACAAACAGCCCCAGGGCACAGCAGATGCCTCAAACTGTCCCGGCTGGGAAACCAGCTCCATCTATTGGTGGGGACAGCACCCCAGTACACTCCGCCCTCCGCAACATGGGTCATGCGCGATCCATTTTGCCTGGGTGGAGCATGACCCATTTTGCTTGGGTGGAGCATCACCCATTTTGCCTGGATGGGTTTCAAGCGCAACGGCACCCCAGTACACTCCGCCCTCCGCATGACCCGTTTTGCCTGGATGGATTTCCAGCGCAACAGCAACAACCCCAGTACACTCCACCCGACGCGGGCTGCCTGCACGGCTCGTCCTAGAAAAATGGCTGGGAAACGTCCGATGATCTACTAAACCACTGCTTGCCCACAGCCCTGGCAGAACTTGTGCCAATGAGAATATTCCCCTAAGTATGTGTGGAGTGCGGCCATTGCATGTACGTTTTAAGTGGAAAGGGGGCACAGATCAGTTCAGCTGACAAGGTCAATTAAACCACCAGTACGTCGCCCGACTATTCGTGAGAATGAGCTGGTTGACATGGTGCCACAAAAATGTTCTGCCTAGTACTGGAAAGGCTCCGCCTACTGGAAAGGTAGGTTCCACCTACTGGAAAGGTAGTAGGTTCTGCCAACTGGAAAGGTAGGTTCCACCCACTGGAAAGGTAGGTTCAAGTTCCACCCACTGGAAAGGTAGGTACCACCCACTGGAAAGGTAGGTTCCACCCACTGGAAAGGCAGGTTCCACCTACTGGAAAGGTAGTTTCCACCTACTGGAAAGGTTCCGCCTGCTGGAAAGGGTCCACCTACTGGAAGTGACAAGCTCTTGTGACGTTCTAATTGTTATGTTGGCCACTAGCCTGTTGTTGCTCAGTGTATATACACTAGCACATACATTAACAGCACTCTATGTATCTCTACGTAGCATGGACTCTGCCTTCAACTTGTTTCAACTTGATTCAAGGTGGCTATACTGACCGCCTGACCGAACGTGTTTCACATTTAGTCTCTAAGAATCCTAAACAGACATACGTTGGTTTCCTGTGGTTTATGCCCATTGCATTTCGGTAAGGTGGGACCGGTACATGCATTCGCCATTGTGAAGGAGACAGCAAGGGGTACTCAGTAGGAGACAGTACTCAGGCTGACCAGGATGCTTCCCTGGGGGGGGGGGTTCAGGGTGACCAGCACACTGGGAGTAGGACGCGGCCCGGCTCTCGTTCGTTGTCTACTAGTCGATGTATATCCTTTTAGCTCCCCATGTTTGCTCTACAAAGTCTTCACTAGAAATTCCAGTGTGTTTCCTTTACTTACTCCAGTGAACCAGCTTTGAACACATTCCAGCACACTAGAAAATTCCAGTGTATCTCCTCTACTTACTCCAGTGCACCGGCTTTGAACACATTCCACCGCCTAAGGGGAAAAAAAGTGATTTTGTAAGTAGAGCAAACACACTGGAATTTCTAGTGCAGAGTCTGCAGACTTTTTGTAGAGCAAACATGGGGAGCTAACAATATTACACAGAATAGAAGAGACTGACACATGGATTGCACGTCGTCGCACAGCAAGTCTCAGGTGTTGTTGTAGTGCCACAAACCAGCATGGTTACCATTGCTGGCAGGACCTCCTCCCAGCCACAGTTCTAATCCAGCCACAGTTTGGAAGTCCAAGGTCACCTGGAAAATGAGGCTCGAGTTACTCGACGTAATTTTATTTCACTCGAAAATGAGGCTGGAAGTCCAAGGTCACCTGGAAAATACTATTTCTGCGTGCCATCTTTTTTTTTGTTTTTACCCACCAGTTCTTTTTCTTTTCCCACGCATCTCTACACTGCCATAACAGTTTGTCATGAATGATTTTGTTTTCGCGCAGTCGGCCCACCCAATGCAGGCGGGTTGGCAATGGAACAGTTTGGTAGACCACTTGAAAACATGCTCACCAGCTCATCTACCAGGGTCAGGGTCTTCTCTCCTACACCCACCCCACTGTTCTCCCTATAGGCCATGATGCCCACAACTTTGGGACTTGGGAACTTTGAGACTTGGGAACTTTGGGACTTGGGAGCTATGAAGACGAGAGCGTACAATTTGAAATCTACCCTGCCTAAATTATCAGTTCCAGAATTTGTCATAGGTTCAACGGAACAGGCAGGCTCCCCCACATGGAAACTCAACATACAAAATCCTTGTTTGAACTTGTTCATGTGACACGCCAACCTCACGCCCTGTGCTGCTTTCCATTCGGATTGCTAAAGGTGCGGAAAGGAGGCCCCGAAAAACAGCAAGATGGGGTGTGCCAAGGATTTTTGGAAAATTGAGTGTGGGGACACAGACAGAACTGAAATCCCCCGTGTTGGTCTGATGAAGTGAGCGATTTGGC